TTAATGTCTTTAAACTTTCCATTATGTGCATATATGAAATTTGTTCAGTCTTCTATTGATGAGAATGAAAGTAGACCATTATCTTACACCATATACAAAAATTAACTAAAAATGGATTAAAGACTTGAATGTAAGACCTGAAACCATGAAACTTCCTTCCTTCCTTCCTTCCTTGCTTCCTTCCTTTCTTCCTTCTTCCCTCCCTCCCTTCCTTCCTTCCTTTCTTTCCTTTCTCTCTCTCTTTATTTCTCTCTCTTTCCTTCTTTTTATTGCAATAACATTGGTTTATAACATTGTATAAATTTCAGATGTACATCATTATATTTCGATTTCTGTATAGATTACATCATGTTCACCACCCAAAGACTAATTACGATTCATCACCACACACATGTGCCTAATCATCCCTTTCGCCCTCCTCCCTCCTCCCTGCCCCTCTGATAACCACCAATCCAATTTCTGTCTCTATCTGATTGTTTGCTGTTGTTTTTATTTTCTACTTGTGAGTGAGAACATATGGTATCTGACTTTCTCCCTCTGACTTATTTTTGTTAGCATAATACACTAGATGTCCATCAATGTTGTCAGAAATGGCTGGATTTCATTGTTTCTTATGGTTGAGTAGTATTCCGTTGTGTATATATACCACATCTTCTTTATCTATTCGTCCCTTGATGGACACCTAGGTTGCTGCGAAGTCTTGGCTATTGTGAATAATGCTGCAATGAACATAGGGGTGTATGTATCTTTATACATTTGTGTTTTCATGTTCTTTGGATAAATACACAGCAGTGGAATAGCTGGATCATATGGTAGTTTTATTCTTAATTTTTTGATGAATCTCCATACTGTTTTCCATAGTGGATGCACTGGTTCGCACTCCCACCAGCAGTGTATGAGAGTTCCCTTCTCTCCACATCCTTTCCAACACTTGTTGTTTCCTGTCTCATTAATTATAGCCATTCTGACGAGAGTGAGGAGATATCTCACTGTAGTTTTTTTTTTTATTCTTATTATTTTTTAATTTTTTTGTGAGGAAGATCAGCCCTGAACTAACATCCGATGCCAATCTTCCTCTTTTTGCTGAGGAAGATTGGCCCTGGGCTAACATCTGTGCCTATCTTCCTCTACTTTATGTAGGACGCCGCCACAGTATGGCTTAAGAAGCGGTGCATCGATGCACGCTTGGGATCCGAACCTGCAAACCCCAGGCCCCCGCAGTGGAGCATTCACACTTAACCGCTGAGCCACTAGTCTGGCCCCTATCTCACTGTAGTTTTGATTTGCATTTCCCTGATAGTTAATGATGCTGAAGTTAATGATGCTGAACATCTTTTCATGTGCCTGTTGGCCATCTGTATATCTTCTTTGGAGAAATATCTGTTCAGATCTTTTGCCCATTTTTTAATTGGTTTGTTAGTTTTCTCGTTGTTGAGATGTATGAGTTCTTTATATATTTTCAATATTAACCCCTCATCAGATATACAGTTTGCAAATATCTTCTCCCAATTGTTAGGTTGTCTTTTCGTTTTGTTGATCGTTTCCTTTGCTGTACAGAAGCTCTTTAGTTTGATGTAGTCCCATTTGTTTATTGTTTCTGTTGTTTCTCTTGCCGGGTCGTGGTACTTGAAAAATATGTTGCTCAGACTGATGTTGAAGAGCATACTGCCTGTTTTCTTCTAGAAGTTCCATGGTTTCAGGTCTTACATTCAAGTCTTTAATCCATTTTGAGTTAATTTTTGTGTACGGTGTAAGATGACAGTCTACATTCATTCTTTTGCATGTGG